CCCGATTACCTCACTGTTGACCCACAGAGAGCCGTAAGAGTTAACGTATCCCTTGAATCATTCTTTGTCTACCATCAAAAGAACCTTCAGATCCAATTTATTTCTACCCTCGCCCACCCAGGAGGCCACGGTGCTTCTCTACTTAGGTTGCACATGACAAAACCAAGAAATGGAAGTCCCTCCACTCCTGAATAACTTGGCACTGAATTCACATCTCATTCCAAAAAGTTTAGGATTAGCTAGAGGTTGCCAAATAAAAGACCAGCTTTGTTACATAGATGTGCCATTGATGAGAAGTGGCGAAGACCTCCCTAGACTAGAGAGGAAAGAGTTCCTTCCATTCTTGAGAGTTATTTACAAATGCTCAAAAAAGTATATGCCTTACAGCACATAGTACATCCAAATCAGCATTTGAGGTGATTGCCATAGATTATCAGAGTGCCCTGAAAAGTTCACGTTATTTGTTTTTTCATTTTTCTCCCATTTACTGCCTAACTGTAGAAAAAATGGTCTCGAGTCAATATGCTCAGTAGGAAGAAGTAGGGAAAAGAGATAAAACTTCTCAAGAGAAAATGGAGTAGATGTGACTATGATGTGAAACTGCCTAAACACATTTTGAAACAAGGCAGATTTTTTAAAAATAAAGTGAAAACTAAAAGCCCTATGAATGGTCTTCACACAAGTGTTGCCTCGCACCGTGCTTTTCCAATTCGGGATGATTTTCAAGTCCCTGTTGTGAAATGGACGAGACAGCGCTTCTGCGTGTGAATCTGCTGTGATTCCATTCTGTGCTTGATGCATGGCCTAAGGAAGGCCTCTCAGAAAGGGAATATTCTCCATAAAAACACCCGAGCAAAGGGTGTGTGCTATTCTTCTCATTTGCCAGCCCTTCCTCTTGATCTATTCTAAGCCTTTCTCTCTTGTAGCTCAACACCTGGGCTCCCCCACCAGTGGCTTGCTCCTGGCTGGTTTCTATTCAGACTTAACCAACAGCAGGTACTGTTGGGAGCATGAGGGATGGGAGAGGAGAAGGTCAGAGTCTTTCTTCCCTGGTTTGGTGCCATGCCTCTGGCAATATTAGCTTCTCTCCGTGACTGCTGTTCCTGCTACATTAGCCTCCCCTTTCACAGTACAGCTCTCAGTGGGCTCCAGTAGCACCACTTCCTCCCATGTCCTTCCTGGCCTGAGGGAGGTGGTAATGGCTTCCTGCTGTGATGAGCCTCTGGGTCTCTTAGCATCCCTTGCTTGTGCCCTTAGCCTTATATGCTCCTCTGAAAGTATACCTTCCTTCAAGTCTCTATACTTGAACCACCTAGGTAAACTCCTGCTGGGACCATGGCTGTGGTGAAGTTTGAATTGCCCTACCTGTGGGGCTATGCTGGGGCTGTCCGCGGATGTGTCCAAGATTGTAGCACTGTCCCTCCCATTTCCCTTCACATAGTAGCACCTTTGGATGAGCTTAGTTTTGTTATCTGTATTTTATGCTCTCATTCAGAAAACAGCAGAAGGCTGCAGAACTTTTGTAGTTCAGGAGAACATTATTAGCAGTTTCTTAATTAATAATGTCCATGGGGATCAACATAATTTAAGTATTTATTGAATCACTGGCCCTGTTTTAGGAACCTCACAGTGTTTTGTGTAATTTTCTCAATCTATGACAAAGAGATTTTAGTCCTCATTTTATTAGCCAAGAGCAGTACAGTGAAATGCCCAGGCTCACACATCGCAGGCCAGTGGCTAAGCAATGTCGGTCTGTCCTTTGAGACATTATAATCAGCTGTGGCTTAACCTAGTGCCTTCAAGAATCCACAAATGCAAGCAGCTATTGAAAGAGACCAGAGGACACACCAAGCACTTGGGCCCCCAATTATGAGCCAGCATGCTGCCCTGGTGAATAGCGGGCACCTCAGAACCGGATGAAGCCTCACTAGAATGTTGTATGATTTGGTACCAGCTGACCCAGGTGAAGTCAAATTAGGGGACACTGCATGTAATGAACATCCCTCCTGAGCCTCTCTGGACTCCAACATTAGTGAGAAGGACACAGGAAATTGTCCCAGTGTAAGATTTCTCCTGCAGCCCTCTGAAATATTTGAGCTTAGTCTGTCTGCAGTGAAGGCTGACAAGCTACATTTTGATAACCATTCTGGTGATTCCGAGGCAAACAATCAAGAACCACACACTGAAAACTGGTGCTCGAAACTGCCTACCCCAAGAGAAGAGAGGAAACACCTGTCTCTATCGCCGTCACACTCAAGTGCACAACCAGAGTGTCAGTCAGTGTTTCTGAATGAATGAAGAAGATGCAAAAGCACATCAGCATCTGAGCTCCCTTTTCCAGGAGGGCTTAATCATATGAATTGGAATACTGTGCTCCTTCCCTGTGGCAGCGCTCTCAATGAGTTAAAACATCGCATGTATTCTGCCCTCGGGCATGCTGGGCTGGTCTGTGGCCATTCCACCAGGCATAGGGCTGATTCTGAGTGGCACAAGTCAATATTTTGAAAAGCATCATTCCTTCTCTCCAGAATAGCAAATCCCTTCATGCAATGCTTTCAAATCAAAATACTTCACGCCTTGTGCTTCATTCATTTTTCTCCAGTATTTATTAAGTGTATTTAGTAGTGGCCTATCACAAGCCAGGTGCTTCAGTAAGTGTCAGGTGAATAGAATTAAACAAAGCCCCAGATAAATTTCACGTGATTCCATTTTTATGAGGCACCTAGAGCAGTGAAATTCACAGAGACAGAAAGGAGAACGGTGGTTGCTAGGGACTGGGGCGAGGGGAGAATGGGAAGTTCACGTTGAATGGAATCGGAGTTTCAGTTTGAGATGATGGGAAAGTTCTGGAGCAGGATCACGGTGAATGTGAATGTAGTAAATGTCACTGAAGTGTGTATCTAAAAGGGTGGAAATGGCAAATTTTATATAGTATATATTTTATCAAAAAAAACACACAACAAAAACTGCATGGGCTTTTGAGATGATTACTTTACCATATGAGGTCAGGTTTATCATCTAAAATGAATTTTCATGGAAAAAAACACAATAATAAGTGATATGATTCTTTGATTCTTCAAAAAAATTAAAAAACTCCTGTGCTTCTGGAGCTTACAGACCACAGAAGCAGACAGACAGCCACAATATCTTTTCACAAAGAAGTGTGGCATCGCCACTGCAGTGAGCAAAGGGAAGACAATAGTGTCCAGAGAAGGTACTGGAGAGTGGAGGTGCTTTGACCCAGTGAGGGAAAGGCCCAGGAAAGGCTCCTCTGCAACAGAAACAAAGTTGCTGAAGGGATAAAGGATGAGAAGGTGAGACAGGGCAAAAGGCAGAAGGGCACTTCAGGCCCTGGGACCAGTGACTCAGGGCTCCTATCGAAGCTAGCCATGATGACGAAGGCGGCACACGCAGGTTTATTAGGAAAAGACACTCCACACAGAAAACTGTCACAGATGCAGTGCGGTACATTTGATCCTGTCAACCTCCCAGGGAACTTCCATGGTGTCACGCGATGACAGAACTGATCGTTCTTTTCAGACAGCAAAGCTGGACAAAATAGTTAATGCTCCTTCAAAGCAGGATGTGAGGATTTTGCTGAATTGCCAAAATTGCTTTACCCTTCCAATTTTTAAATGACAAATAGGTGAGACAAGCAGGCATAAGAAAAACACTAAGGATTTGTTAGTATTCTAACTGTGTTGTTAAAAGATGCCAAAAAAAAAAAAAAAAAACAGTAAGTAAATTTAAGGGGACAGAAGAGGAGTATTTATATTTTTAATGGTTTTTAAATCTGTCAAGGAAACTGACATAAACATTGTCAGTTACTATGTCCATACAATTATAAATAATGGTGGCTCTATTATGTTGGATATGGAAGATAATTGTACAGTTCTGTAGCAAAATATATATCTTTGTATTGTTCATACACAAATATATTGTGTTTTTAATGAAGACCAAAAATACTATAGGCCTCTGTTAGCTCAAACTATTTTAAAAAGTAGAAAATTACCAGTATTTTTTTTATATTGACAAATTTCCATTTAGAATGTACATATTCTTACTTTTATTTTAGGCTCAGGGACACATGTGCAGATTCGTTATATAGGTCAATGTGTGTCGCGGGGCTTCAGTGCACAGATTATATCATCACCCAGGTAATAAGCAGAGTACCCAATAGGTAGTTTTCCAATCCTCACCCTCTACCCTCAAGTAGGCTCCAGTGTCTCTTGTTCCCTTCTTTGTGTCCATATGCAGAGTATATGTTTTTTAAAGCATACAGAAGCATTCCTATAGATAATTTCAAGGTAAAATACTTCAAAATTCCCAGCTTCCACAAACCTTACTTTGAAAACAATCCACCATTCCTGAAAGCATGTAAAGCACTAAATTGAATAGAATCGTGTCAGCAGCATTTGTCTTAGTTCTTGTCCAAGCCAAGTGTCTTTCACTAAATCCTAGATTCAAAGAGCAACTCTCATTAAACACTAAAGACTGTCACATGTGGCACAGGGGAGTCAAAGGACCCTTTTAATTACCTTTCCAGTTTGCAAATTATTTTTAAATGCATTACTCGATGAAACTGGATATGAAAAGGTCTGGTTTTTCTGTCAGTGCCCCATGATTTTGAACGGTTCATTTTATTTGCTGGGTAATATGTCATGCACTACATTTCAAGCTGTATTTGGGAACCCATTCCATCATGCATGCATATGTAAGGTGCAGAGAAAGATCTGGAATGCAATGGACATCACATTTCTCCCAGCCACACTGGCTATACATGAAGCCAGTTAAAACTCTGTCATAGTCCTGGGTACAGTTTGGCTTATTCATTATTTTTCATTTATAAAGCAAACCTGCCTCTTGAAAAAAAGTCTCAAGGTTAATTACAACTTTTCTCCTTTGACACAAACAACTCAATTGCAAATCTGATTTGATGGGTATGTCATTTGTTGTAAGATGGGACTCATGGGTAAGACAGAGTTTGTATGCAAGTGTACCTGCAGTGGGTTTGTCCTTCCAGTTCTAGTCAGAGTGACATCTCCAGGAGGGGCTCTACCCAGGTCACCCAATCGCAGTAGCTCCAGACCCTTGCTGCTCCTCAGTCAGATAGTTTATTATCTGTTCGTTACCTAAAGCACTGAAACACAGAAGGGTACTGTATTCTTCTGCTGAAGCTGCCATGACAAAGCTCTAGATAAACTGGGGGACTTAAACAATAGAAATGCATTCATTGCCTTTCAGTGCTGGAGGCTCAAAGTCTAAGATTCAGATATTGGCAGGGTTGGTTTCTTTTGAGCGTGGTGGGGGAAGGATCCATCTCCTGCCTCTCTCATAGATTCTAGTGGTTTGCTGGCAATTTTTGGTGTTCCTTGGCTTTAAAGAATCACTCCAGTGGGGCGTAGTGGCTCATGCCTGTAATACCAGCACTTTGGGAGGCTGAGGCAGGAGGATCACTTGAGCTCAGGAGTTCAAGTCTAGCCTGGGCAACATAGGAAGGCCTTATCCCTGAAAAAAAAAAAAAAAAAGCCAGGCATGGTGGCATGCACCTGTAGACTCAGTTACTCGGGATGCTGAGGCAGGAGGATCAATTCAGCCTAGGAGATCAAGGTTGCAGTTAGCAGTGATTGTGCCACCGCACTCCAGCCTGGGTGACAGAGAGAGACCCCATACCTGTATGTGTGTCTCTTCATCCGAATTTCCCCAGATAAGGACAGCAGTCATATTGGATTAGAGGCCTGCTGTACTCTGGCAGGACTGCATCTTAGCCTAATCAATTACATTTTCAAAGGTGCTATCTCAAGGCAGTAAAGGGGATTTTATAAAATATTTCTTATGAAAAGGGAGAATTTATTCTCATAGTACTGACCACTAACAGGTGTCTCTGATCGTCCAAGGAAGAAATGCAGAAGATCTAAGCTAAAGCTTTGGCAACAGAGGAATGTGACCAAATAAGGTCACATTCTGAAGTACTAGAGGCTAAGACTTCAACATACGAGTTTGGGGGAGGGAACACAATTCAACTCATACCAGATACCATATATTTTCTATGGATACACAAACTGTAGGTGAATATATAAAAGCTCTGGAATGATATATACTCAATTGTTGACATTGCTTGCCTCCTAGAATGAGTGTGCATTAGACTAGGGTGGGGGTGGAAGTCAAAGGAAATTTAACTGCACCTGTAAAAATCTTCATTTTTTACAAGGAGGAGACAATCATGCATTGCTTGTGTAAGTAAAACTTTATATAAGTAAATTGAGGTTTTGCCGTGGTTCCCAATAGAAACACTACCCATTGCCAAGATACGTTTTCTAAACTTGTGGGAGGGTTTGTTGGTACAGGCAACACTTTGGAGCACGGCTGTCAGTGAATGGGTGGTAAATGGGGTGTTGGATGTCCTGAAAATGCAGGGACACTTGCCCACATGGGAGAATCGTCTGTGTCCTGTTACACATTTACATATAAAAACAAACGGGCTGGGTTGGCATGATTTTAATATATATTGGATTTTTCAGGAATGCAACCTTTGCACCTATAAATTATGAGAAGATTGTACTTTATTTGGGTCAGCAATTTCCTGTGAGTTTTCACCTTACTGGAAAATTGCATTACCAACAGCAGCATCCCTCTGTGTATTTGAGCCACCCACAGAACATGCTAATGGCCTTTGGTGGGCTACATTTGCAGCTCTCACATTTCTGACAATTTTCCATAGAGGTGCAGTGACCAATCACTTAATTCTGTCATGCCGAGTCTTCATGTCCTGAAACATGTATTATTATATTATAAACTTCTTTTCTAATTGTATTTTTCTTTTACATCAAAGTTGGGGCTCTAGATGAATTTTTAAAATACATGTGCAAGTAGATTACATCCCTTACAAATTTCATTTCAAGGCAGTAAACGGGATTGTACAAAATGTTTCTTATGAAAAGGGAGAATTTATTCTCATAGTGCTGACCACTAACAGGTGCCTCTGATCGTGCAAGGAAGAAGTGCAGAAGATCTAAGCTAAAGCTTTGGCAACAGAGGAAAGAAAATGTATTCAAGAGATACTTTAGACGTAAAAATCAAAAGGCTGTGATTAAGAAGGGATTGTCGAAATACCCCAGAGATTTTTAACTTGTGCGACGAGGAGGACCATAGACCCTTTAACTGGAAGATGCAAATATGAGGAAGATGATGCCAGATTCAGCAAGGGACCGCTCAGTTAGGCACCTGTGGGGCAAGAGGGCGGTATCCACAAGATAGTAAATGACAGATACATGGGTTTAGTGATCGAGAGATCTTGGGTCGAATGGAACTGCCAATCACTGTGGGAGCCTAGGAAATGGGGAGTGTGTAGAAGAAGATGGGGAAAGCCAAGAACAAAACCTGAGGAACACCCCAAAGGGCACACATCAATGAGGAAGGGCACGGAGCAGACCTCTCAGTTTTCCATTTTCTCTCCCTGTGGGGCTGGAAGCATCTCAAAATAAAAAGCAAAAATCAAATAAACAACAACATCCAAATGTTGTGACTTCAATTGCCTTGGTATTCCCCACATTGCCCAGCAGGACCCTGGGTTCCCTGTCAGCCTCTAACAACACTGGTCAGCTGGTATCCCACAGCCCTTTTCCTTTCTGGAACCTTCAGGAAGGGGAAAGAACGTTCCTGCTGTCATTGGGCTTTGCCAAGCAGAGGTGTCTCCTAGTCTGTGGGAAGATTTCTCCTGAAACTCAGGGAGTGTTCAAGGCTCAGAGTTCACTCGCAGGCAGAGAGGAAATCATCTTCACCTGACCAGAGTTAGGGCTGTGCTAAGCAGTGGCTATCACACTCAGAAAATGCATTTGCAAAGTAGAGAACTGGTGATGTGTCACTTGTGAGATAGACCATCTTCCTCTGTATTGGATAAACCATAGCTAAATTTAACAGCAGAGGAAGTGTCATTTCCAAAGACCTCATTCAGCCAGAACCCAGGAGAAACGCCACACACATTCTCCCAAAGCCCAGACTCTGCACCCCAGGGACCCTCCCTCTCCTGAGTGTGATATCACAACCTCAGGGACACTCCCTCTGGCTTCCTCCCACATCCCACTGCCTGACAGAATGTACAACATGGAATAGATCTGTCACCAAGGGCACATACCTGTGGTCACATAAACACATAAACACATTCACTAGCAGCCACGTTCTCAGGCGCTGGCTCTGAGGGGCAGCCACCAGGCAGCCAGGGCAGACACCACTGAAAATCCACTGTGGCGCTGCCTCCACTGTCCACTCCAGCAGAAAAGAGGTTCCAGATGTGTCCTCCGCTGAACCGGTAGCAAAGTCAGACTGTCATAATCGGACCCCAAGCACAGGCTCCCTGCCTTCACAATCTCTCTGGACATTATAAGGCAGCTCTGCATGGCTATGTACAGTTTCAACATAAAGTTGACAATTTATTTTGAGTTTACGGGTCCTGTTTTTGTTTTGTTGCTTGGAAATAATGTTGCCTGTGTGTGTGTCTGTGTGTGTGTCTCAAAAAAAAGAAGAAGAAAGAAAGAAAGAAGAAACAGAGAAAGAGAGAAAGAAAGAAGAAAGGAAGGAAGGAAGGAAGGAAGGAAGGAAGGAAGGAAGGAAGGAAGGAAGGAAGGAAGGAAGGAAGGAAGGAAGGAAGGAAGGAAGGAAGGAGAAAAGAAAAGAAAAGAGAAAGAAAGAAAGAAATGTGAGAACAGGGCACATTACTCAATATTGTTTTAGATTTATATTAATAAGTATTCAACTGGAATAGCTTTAATTCTAAATTTCTATGCTTTATGGGTTTTTAACCTTTGAAATAGCTATACTTTGATAGCTTTATCTCTCCTTTGTTCATTGGGATAATGGTTTAAAAATCTCACTTGAAATTAGAATTTAAATGGTAAAATATCATGACAACCTGAGAAAGGGAAACAATAAATAATGTCTGGAATTCTCTGTAAATACACAGCTTTAGCTGGGAGTTCTGAACCTAAACATCTCTGTTCGGAATTGATCATTCTCCAGAATTAATGCAAGGTAAGCCGAAACCTTTAAATCAGACCCTCCACCAAGCAGCAGTTGAGGAGCCCCTAGATCCTGAGAGAGGCTACACTGGTCATTTACAATCTATTCAGAGCCACCGTGTACCTGAGAATATAAGAAGAGTCGTTGTTGGCTGAGTGATCTTGAGGATACTTAATCCCTCAGGTCCTCAGTTACTTCCTTTGTAAAGTGAAAGATTAGACCAGTCCCTTGCAGCTCAGATTTTCAGTTTAATTTTTAAAAACCTAAGCCAGATTAAAATTCATCACTCAGTTTGTAGGCTTTGGGGTCTCTACACTAGTTTATAATCCTAAAGACATTGACACCTTCTGTAGGATGAGACCATTTGCCCTGTGCCACCAGGCTTGTAAAACCTACCCCAGTGCCTCAAAGGGGATACTCAAAAGAAAAAGATCCATATATTCTGGGAGAGTGAGATGCACCAACTAAAACAGGGAGTATGAGCTGTTCCAGACGTTTCCACTCACCTTCTGCCTCCCAGTGCTGTCTGCCAAGAATTCCCCATAATTCAACTAAAAAGGGCATTGTCTTAGTCCAATTTGCATTGCTATATAGGAGTATCTGAGACTGGGTAATTTATAAAGAAAAGAGACTTATTTGGATCACAGTTCTGCAGGCCATACAAGAAGCATGGCACCAGCATCTACTTCTGGTGAAGCCTCAGGAAGCTTACAGTCACGGTGGAAGATGAAAAGGCAGCAGGCTTACGTGGCAAATGAGGGATAAGAGAGAGAGAGAGAGAATGAGGTGCCAGGCTCCTTCAAACAACCAGTTCTCACATGAACTAATAGAGCGAGAACTTACTCATTACCACGAGGATAGCACAAAGATATTTATTAGCGATCTGCCCCCATGATCCAAACACCTCCTGCTAGACCCACCTCCAATGGTAGAGGTCACATTTCAACATGAGATTTGGAGGGGGCAAAACATCCAAACCATATCAAGCATCAATGTTCCCTTTGGTCAAAGAAGAGAGATTTGCTCACAGTTGTCAATTGTATATTTTACACTAGACATAAAGTTTCTCCCTAAAGACTGAACTTAAATTTAAGTTTGCTTGGTCCACCAGTAGATTTTCCTATGTGATAGCTTCCTTGAAGCTTAAAGAAGAATTTCATCATTGCATTAAACATTGTGATCCAATTAATCTAAGCGCTGAACATAAAATCATACTAAAAATTTACCCATTAGTCAAACACATGATAATTTCTTTTTAAAAACAATTGCTTTAATTACACAGTTAACTATGAGCTCATTTCTGATTGTAAGAAATTGAAGTAATGTAGATACAAGTCAAATCACTCTAAAAATATTCCCTCCGGCCCTATTCTTTTACTAGGTATAATACCTGTAATGAATTTAGTGTGTATTCACTCAACCCTTTTTCTATGCATGATGAAAATACATAAATAAAAACTTTTGTGTCAGCTCTGTATTTTTACATAAATAGAATAATCATTTCCTTTGTGACTATTTTTAATTAGCAAGAAGTCTTTAGCTATTTCCTTCAGTGTAGATATAGATTTCTTGCATTAAAATATTGTTGCGTAATATTCCATAATACGGATTGTGAAAGTTTTAATTATTGCCCTACTAGTGGAAATTCAGGGATTTTTGAAAAAAAAATTATTCTATAAAATACCACAGGGAGCAGTTTTATACATGCCTTCTTGCACACATGTGGCTGTGTTTCTTTTGGGTAGACACCAAGAAGTGAGATTGTTGGCTCAAAAGATATGTGCAATTTTTAAAGGTTTGGCAAAATGCCCTGCAAAAAAGGCAAGACAGAGTTAAATCCCGACCAGAAATTTAATTTAGAGAAGAGAGTTACTTTTCTTCTATGCCCTTATCAATATGTAATGTTATTTAATTTTGGAGTATTTCCCAATCTAAGAGATGAAAAATCAAAGCTCATCTTAATTTGCATTTCCTTGATTACTAGTGAAGTTGTACATTTTTAAATATATTTATTTGTTATTTCCAGTTCATCTTATGTGCATTATCTATTCATATCTTTTTCCTGATAGACTTTTTCTTATCAAACTACAGACATTCTTCATATGTTGTTGTATTCATCCTTTTTCTACTACATATGTTAAAACTCCTTTCTCCCAGTTTGATGACAGTTATTTGACTTTTTCTATGGGATCTAAAGAAGATTTTTCTTCTCGTCTTTAAATTTTCTGTATGTGAAGCTCCAGATGCGTAGATACATTTGCATAAATCTTAGCCTATAGGTCCACTGGCGCTCCCTTATCTGTAGTTTCCCATTCCAAGGTTTCACTTACTCTTGGTCAACCACGATCCAAAAATATGAAAATAGTTTTAGAGAGAGAGAGAGACCACATTCACATAACTTTTATTACAGTCTCTTGTTCTATTTTATTATTAGTTATTGTTGCTAATCTTTTACTGTGCCTAAATGATAAATTAAACTTTTTCCTCGGTGTGTATGTATAGGAAAAAACAGAGTACTGTATTTATAAGGTTCCATTCCATTGGAGGTTTCAGGGATCCATTGGGGGTCTTGGAAGGTATCTCTCACAGATAAGAAGGAACTATTTTACTTTGTGAAGTCCAGCCTTTTTTAGTTTGTCCTTTCTTTCATTTGTCTCAGTTCTTTCTCTTTTGCTGATCTTGGCTCACATTCCTCTCCTGCCCTTCCTACCTCCACTCCAGCTATATGGAAAGTAAAAGGAAAACCATGGAAAGATTGAAAAAGTAAAAATGGAAAAACAAATACCAGGTAAATACTACCAACTCAAAGAAAGTTGTTACAGATATGTTACCACCAGAAAACATCAAATTTAAATGTAAAGTATTATTAGGAATAATGAAGGTCACCACACAATGATA